CCCGTCGCCTGGTGTCCCCGGCGCCAGCTCCCCAGCCACAGTGGGGTCGTGGGGGAGCTGGGAATTGTTTTGTAACTGCGGCTATATCAGAGCTGGGCTTCCTCCGTCTTATTTATCCTGTTTCTTTTCTCACCACAAAGGAAGTGGCTTTTGCCAGCAGCTCCACAGGCAGGACTTTGTGAATGGCTCCTCATTTTCTCCTGATTAGAAACACTCCTCCCCAGGCAAACACCCGCTCCCAGCCTGTCCTCCCTGTCCTGGCAGGCTCCTGCCAGTCCTCGTTCCTCCTCTGCCCGTCGCAGGGCTCCACAAGACTTCAGCATCGCTGTGGGTCATCACCCACCCAGCAGCTGAGCATGATGCTGATGGTGCTGGTGATGCTGGTGATGCTGCTGATGGCGGTGGTGCTGATGGTGCTGCTGCTGGTGGTGGTGCTGGTGATGCCAGCAGTGCTGGCAGAGCAGCTGAGTGCTTCTCAGAAGCAACTCCCCTTCTGGGAAGAGTGTGAGGATCATCGCCAAGACCTCACCTGGCCCCAGGGGAACACACCTTCAAACTGCAGCCAAGACTTTGTGTTTCTTGTCAGCCTAATGCAGGCCCTGGCAGCCCAGCTGAAGGACAATATACAGCTGCTTTTCAGCCAGGTTACAACAATATGAACGCTTATAGTCCAGATTAACTATTGCTCATACCCCTCAGTAATGCCGTGAAAGCTATTGGAGAGCAGATTTCATGGAATCCCAGCCTGGTTTGTGTTGGAAGGGAGCTTAAAGCTCCTCCAGCTCCAACCCCTGCCCCAGGCAGGGACACCTTCCACTAGAGCAGGCTGCTCCCAGCCTCTGTGTCCAACCTGGCCTTGAACACTGCCAGGGATGGGGCATACATTTTGGGGTGCTGGGCTCCCCCTCCCAGTGGGCTTTTCCATGGGGCTGCATCCCACCTCTTCACCAGCAGCATATCCTCCACCTCAGTCCTGGTTGGTTTTACATGATCCCACCCCTTTGGTATCCCAGACACTCTGGGTTGTGGCTCCTGAGCTCAGCCTGGATGTTGTTAAACCCTCCTATCGCTCATGGCTCCTACTCAGGGCTGAGCAGAGCATCTCCTTGGAGATACTGGTCTGGCCGCGCTGTCCCTTGGGCAGGACCATGGGGAGCAGGAGCTCCTTGCAGCCACTGCACAGCCTGCCAAGGGCTTATTGCTATAGCCGATATCTTTTGCATAATTAACAAGCTGCTGTGGTGATTAAAAAGACAACTGTGGGCTGTAAAACGAGGCTTGTGGTTGCCTTGACTGTGGAAAAGCTTCTTCAGAGGGATCCACTGCATCTCCCACTCCATGGTGCCCTTGCAATAGGGAGGTACTTCTGGCTTCTCTCCCAGCTGCCTGGCTGACATCAGCCTTTGGCTGCTGTAAAACATACTGTCAATGCCTAAAACTGAGTCCCAAAGACCCTGGATTTATCCCATTAACAATTCCCATCTCACCATTTTCACTAAGGGCAGAGTTGTCTCCAAGGGTTTCGTATCAAAATCACTTCATACCGAAGTTCCTGCCTTTAGTGGGGCTCTATGAGCAAAGCAGACCCTATCATCCATGTCTCATACATGGGCAGAGCCCATCACTGAGCCACCAGCCCCGGCGATGCTGGTGGGACCTGTGGAATTCTCCCCATTCCCATTTCCTCCAGCTCATCCCATCTTCCTGAGGCAGGCAAACCCACCATGGTTCCCACAGCCACCCCCATTAGCCTTCCATGGG